ATTTCTTTGTGTTTATTTGATTCCTATTCAAGAGAATTACTTTATATATAGTCAATATAGGCACAGAGGTAAATTTTTTTAACATTTTCTAATGGTGGTGTGCCTCGTGATTTTTTTCATGAAAAAAGTGTGCCTTTGCACAAAAAAGGTTGAAAAACACTGTTCTATTGGTGCTGCTTATCATATACTTGCTATATACACAGTAACATCTAGTGGCTAAGGGGAGCAGTGCAGTCCATTAATGTCAGAATGCTAATAATAGATGTAGAGCTTCATATACTTTTGCACAATTCAAACCTTTAAGCAAGAAAGTGCAAGAGTGGAAGGAGGAGCCATATAGGATAGTTGTTTTTTTTTTTTTCAATTATGCAAGGGGCAGCTTATATATAAACAGTTCGCCCTAAACTTCGTTGAAATGAGAGCTATGACAGTCCCTGACATATACAATATAGCATAAGTGACACTAAATTCAGTAGTTAAATCTTAATATATAATACCTACCACACAAGATGCTTCATACTGCTTGCCAAGCTTGGGTCTCAGAAATGCACTGCAACAACAAGATTTACTTGCGCCCGGGGCAAGTGCCCCCCGGTTGTTACGCCACTGCTGTGAAGAGGTGAACTGTAGCGGAATAGCTAAATGCAGAACTGCAATATATATACATGAAATGTTTACCTGCCAAAGGTTTTTACATTTTCTGCAGCCGCTGTTATATTTTAGGCTCCCTAGCCAGACAGCATAGCCAGATCAGTGACCTCACTTTTCTCCATTGCCCATAGGCAGTAGAAATTGGTCACCTCCCTACCTCCAGCCTGTAACTGGACAATAAAAAAAAAGCAGCAGACTGGTGAAGTCTTCGCTCTGCTCTTTTGCGTAAGCATGTTCGGAACTGTGCAAAATCAATAGAGCCAGTGCAGCACCTCATTCTCTCCTTGTTACTGCTGCTGTGCAGGGGAATACAGGCTGCTGGTTATCAGGACAGTCTTAGGTATCTAGGCTAAATGTATGTAAAAATGCATTTCATAATGTCAGATGTTGAAAAGTCTTCACCTGGTGTAGCAGTCAACAAGAGTGAACATCCAAGTTATGGAGGCAGAACAAGAGTATTAATATTCTTCTCTTGCTGGTTGGTTTTTTTTTTATAATAGAGTCCCTTTTATCTGAAAACAACTGTACACATCTTGCTTGATGAAGAAAAAAATGGCTGTAAACTTATAATTTGAAATATTTCAATAAAAATAACATTTGTGGATGGATCCTAGAGATTGTGAGAAGAAAAGTTATTTAAAGGAAACCTGTCATGAGAAAAACATGGAAGCTGTCATTACTGTCCTTTCCATCTGAACATGTTAGTTGCTTGGCTGTAGTTCTGACCCTTTTAGTTCACTACGAACAAGTATGCAGGACCTATAACTTTTCTGACCCTCATACTTTTTACAGGTCAGTTACTTAGAAAATATTGAAGGCAGTAGGCTAACATTACATGCCAGCAACTTGCATTTTCTGAAGAAAATCAAATCAGCAATGGTATCTGCCATATTTCTCTCATGACAAATTTACTTTAAAATGAAGGTAGTATAAAATGAGTTGACATTTGATTGATGTCTTCTACAGAAACCTCATAGAAATAAATCGACCAATGTGATCTTTATGCCCCCGTCTGCCTAATACTGCAGAAACACCAAGATTGCAGCCCAAGAGAAAAATATAGACTGCCATTGCTGACCTCCATTGCAAATGCTAGCTGCCTGTCTGTCACGTTAATGTTCAAGCTTTAATACGTTCTCAGCCACTGAACAATTACAAGTATACAGACTGGCGGTCTTGTTCAATGAGGGGAGCTAACCCACAGCAATCACTCAGAATTCATGATATTCCGGTTAGACTTCAGCAAAGTGAATTCTGATTGTTTGCTATGGGTTACTGTACATAAAAAAATATTTCTGTACTTTGCCAATTTAGAGCAAGGTAACAGATTCACAGACATGTAAGGAGCATGCACCAACCTTCCATGTGCTGCCACAATGCCCATTTTGCCTGCTAGAGTAAATACTCCAGTACAGTACAGTACACCAGTATTGGGGGAGCACTTGACTCCTTCTCGTCTTCCTTTATGCAGTAATCAGTTCCTAAGTGGCCAATTACAGTAAAAGGCTGCAGCAGTGTCATGTGGGGTGGAATAAGTGTACAGTTTTATCCAGTGTATTTTCGAAGGACTCTGGCAAGAAAGTGGGGTGTCAAAGAGCACATGGAAGGTAAGTACAGATTCCTTAGGCCTTGTTCACACCAAATGCAGAGCAGATCTGGTCAGGTTTCTGCACACGCACGCTAGTCCTTTTGACGCGTTTTTGATGCGTTCCGGGCTCTTTTTGGTAAAAAAATGGGCTTTCAGTGTGTTCCAGGCATTGGCATGCGTTTTTGATGCGTTTTTGATGCGTTCCAGAGCAGATCCAGAGCAGGTAAAATAGGGCCTGCTGCAGTTTTTTCACCTGCTCTGGATCTGCTCTGCAACTGCACGCTGCGATGTGAACTAGAGCAAAAAATACCATAGGAATACATTGGACGCAGTTTTGATCCGGTCTACAACTGCTCTGCTCTGGATCTGCTCCGCGCTTGGTGTGAACAAGCCCTTACTATGCCTGCTATAAAGTAAACCTGTCACTTTGTGCAATGTGGCATTAGAGAACGTTTTATTGAATTGTGACACAGGACTTTTGAATTCTTTGTAACCTTCCTGATCTCCATACCCGTTCAATGACTTATACAGTTTAATCAGATGATCAAAAAGATAGCCAGACAAGCCAATTCTATGTTGAATCCTTTGCTGTTATTCCTATGCACATATTTACTGTACGATTACTGGTTACTGTGGCAGACAAAAAAACTAAAATGAATAAAAAAAATCTATTGAACCAAAAGAATAGCCAGACAATATCATTTTCAGACACTGATTAAACCAGCAAAGCCAATCTGTGAATCTCTTCACCTCTGAGGATATTACATACCTAATTGTGATTATTAGTCATGGTCACATAATCACATAATGTATCCTTATGTTTTTAGGTTTGGGCATCCCTAAGAAATTCAATAAAAGTGATGGAGATGCACTGGCTCTACTCTCAGTGACAGTCAGTCTGCCTTGTCCCTTGCTCTAGGCAAGGTCTCATCTGTCATGTAGCCATGGCTGATTCTCTCCTATAAAACACTGTCATTCCCTTTACCACTTGTTGGTCATTTTCTCCAGTACATGAAAGCAGCAATGTCTGCTAGAACTGAACTGTGTTATTGCCCTACCACACTCATTATTTATCCATGAATGCATCTCATCTGTGGCTTCAGATGGGCTGCACTATTCCTTGTCTCTGCTTATATGTCTAGTCCTCCTAGAAGTGACAGGTCACACCACTTATTATCAGAAGTCATTTGTCCTAAGATTCAGTATATAGTTCTACATCGATGCATGTAGCTGATGTCCAATGCACATCTCCATAGTGTGTGCTATACCATGGCAGTATACAGTGAATGGTGCACCTGCAATGGCAACTCAGCTATATACCCGAATAGTAGATGTGCCGGAAGTAATTAATGCTGTGATGTAACGAGAAAGAAAATTCAATGGAGACATCTGGTGGTTAGAAAAAAAACATGAAATACAAATAACGTGCGAATAGGTTTCAATGGCTGGAGAAAAAAAGCAAAGGAAAGGTACATGGAGGGGGAGGCTGATAGGCTAATGTTTTATATATATATATCTTAGAAATAGTGGTTATGAACAATGCAATCTGTGTACATAGGTTGGATATGATTGCATCCCAATTAATTAAGATAATCATTTCTGATTAAATGCTGCAAGGAGCTGTCATGTACCTAGTTTGCCTCCAAAGGAAGATCTGAATGGGCAGAGGGATCCCGCGGAGTCTCTCCTGTTCTTGCCCCTCTGAGCTCTTCCTTTTCACCATGATGGCAGCCTGTACCAGCCTCGTCTCCCCGCTGCTGCTCTCAGCCGCTGCCCGTCTCCTGCTCGGGAAGATGTCCGCTCCTGTGATTTCTGCTTTCAGCACCTCCCATTGTGGACAGCGCCCTGCCTCTAGCGGCCATCGGGAGAACTGCACCCCTAGCTCGGGGCTCGCAGCTACAGCGAGAGCCCGCTTCATAATCCCTTTTTCCATGGTTCACAGTCATACAATTTTTCATGTATGTCAGATGTAAATATAAATGTTCAGAATGTCTTACTATATATCCCTGCGCTGGCAGGAGAAATAGTTCAAAGACGTTGGAATTCAGCCAACAGATGTAGTTCATTCATAAGTTGTATATGTTTCCAGCTCAGCTCGGGATTTCACCTTAAAATTAAAGTTTATGACATAGTTACCATCCCCTATTACTTGTCAACAAAAGCTAAGAATTCTTAACTCTTTTTAGTATTTCCTTTTGCATCCCCCCCACGGCCATTCTTGCATAGGCAGAATAATGTTCCATTTACCTCCTGCAGCTTCCTGTATACGATTATACAACATGCAGGAGCATCCTTTCCTTTCATGTAAATAGAACCAATGTAGATCTCGCACAAGCACAGAGATCTGGCACCCAGGAGCATATCCGGGGTATGTCACATATGGTGCATGCCCTGGGCGCCACTTGAAGGAGGGATGCCGCTCCATGCGCCAGCGAAAGTTTGCCCACTCACTGAGACAGTAGAGACCATAGACTGCCCACCTGGCATCCTAGCAACCAACCTCCAGTAGCCAGGTTGTTGAGTGATGCTGCTGGTGGTTGGTTGTTAGGACTGCCTGGCGTTCTTGCAACCAACCAATAACACTTTGATTCCCTGTCCTGACTTTGATGAAAGAGGGACTCTGGACACTTTACATCAAGGTCCCCAGTGGTCTCTTACATCAGAGCCTGATGTAAGAAGGACTCTGATAAAAGGGGGACACTGAAGCAAGGGGGGACTCTGGGCACTGAGTCCCCACTTACATAAAAGTTCCCAGAGTTCCCCTTTACATCAGAGTCCCCCCTTACATCAGTGTCCCCCTTTACAGAGTCTGATGTAAGGGGGGACTCCAATGCACGGGTGGACCCCAAGGACTCTGATGCCAAGGCGGTCTCTGGGAAATCTTATGCACTGGGGAACTCTGAGCACTCTGATGTAAATAGGGGACTCTGGGGACTCTTATGTTAGAGTGACTCTAATGTAAGGGGATGCTCTGGGAACTCTGAGGTCTCAGATGTAAGGGGGGACTCTGATGTGACGGGGAGATCTGGGGACTCTGATGTAAGAGTAACTTAAGTGGATGCTCTGGAAACTCTGAGGACTTAGATGTAAGGGGGAGTTCTGGGGACTCTGATGTAAGGGTGACTCTAATGCAGGGGCGCCCACAATTTTTCGTCTGGAGATCTACTTTTCAAATGACGAGCTCAACGAGATCTGCACAAATGCTTTTTGCAGATTGCACTGGACCGGAACGCACGCACTAACCTGCCTGCATTTTGGGTGCGGGCGATCGCACTGCGGACGGGAGTGTGTGACTTCAGTGCCATTGACTTCAATTCACTGCCACGCCACCTCCTGCCCCTGAATGCAGGGAGCCGGCTGGCTTGCGTTCCAGTGCGTTCTTGAGGCCGAACACTCTGGAATGCAGACTTTGTGGTGTGAACCGGCCCTCTCTCTTGGCTGTCTCTTCTCTCTCTCCTCGGCATCTCTCTCCTCGCTATCTCCCCTGTCTCTATCTGCTGTCTCTTCTCTCTCTCTCTGCTGTCTCTTCTCTCACTTTCTCTGCTATGTCTCTTCTCTCTCTCTCTCTGCTGTCTCTTCTCTCACTTTCTCTGTTGTCTTTCGTCTCTCTCTCTCTGCTGTCTTTTCTATCACTTTCTCTGCTCTCTCCTATCTGTCTTTTCTTACCTCCACTGCAGCAGCTTCCCAGGTCTCCTCTCGTGCGCCGGCGTCCTGTCCTCCCGCGGTGCTCGCGTGGCCGAATGTGGCTGACATTGCACACGGGGAGAGTTGTCCCGCCCCTTCCTGTCTGCGGCGTCTGACACCTTCAGCCTGTCTTTTTAAGTTGATATTATGGTTATGGTTATTATATGTTATCTAAAATATGGGTCCCAGATTTTGAGAAGGGGCACAATTTCAGTTTTTCCCATAGGCATATGTTCTGCATATGCGTCTCTGCTGGTGCCGGGTCAATTCCATACTGTTTTATGAATGTAGGATAATAATTATTATTCTCCATTCATAGAACAGCATGTACGTAGATCCAGCACCAGATCTCTGTCTGTGCATGAGCGAGATCTGGCACTTAGTCATCTGGGCAGTGGCTGAAGAAATAGGGAGAGAAAGCTGGTTCTCTGTGACATCACCAAGCAAGATAGCGGCATTGGATAAGACCTGTTGGAGGACAGTGAAGCGAGAGAAGACAACACTTGATCTATTGGGCTTGTAGGTAATTGATTACAGCATGAGAAGTGCACCAAAGGTAAGTGGATGGCAGAGGATGAATCATTTGGGAGGGTAAAATTCTTCTTCAATGAATGTACCTTTTGGCTTAGACCTCAGACCTTTTGGTTTAGTTGATGTTAGGTGAACCCAGCTGTGGGTCTTCCGCTGGGTTCCATTGAACATGCCTCTTTTGAAAAGCCAGATTCTGCTAAATACTTGGTTGTGTCCTAAGAGACTCAGGGCAGCCTGGGACATAAACCAAAGGTGTTGGGCTTGTAATGTCATAATAACAAGTAGTGAAGCAGTTCCCAACCCTTCATATAAAGCTGGCAGTACACTGCTAGAATTTTGTTTGAACATTCATTTGAATCATTTCTCAGAACATTCAATCTTGCCCTCACTGAATCAGCTCGTTTTATTTGAAAGGCCTTAAAAATTTGATCCAGATTTGCTACTTAAATGTAATCCCATGTGTATTATACAGGTTTTCTTTTTGCCCAGCACATGTGCATTTCAATATACATTTTCCCGAACAAAAATCACATTCACGGTTAGAACTTTGTCCATTCAGATAAGAAACAATAACATTTTCCATCCTACCTCTTCACATTTCTTCCTCACTATGGTCAAAAATGAACATTGATTATACCCCACCAACCATTAGAAAATTGAAAAAAACTTTTTGAAAATTAACTCATTTTAATTAATTTCAACTGGTTAATGGACTTAACTTTATCCTTCTTCCTCTGTTCTTTTTTTTGTTCTCTTAGGTCTCTTTTACCCTTACCCACTGCACAGGCATGCCCTTGAAATTGAGCTTTGACCCTTTGAAGATAGTTGCCACAGGCCAGACAAGTAGAGCTGACAGGTCCTGGCCCACTCCTCTTTATGCTACCCATGCGTGCAATGGGCCATTTAATTTCAATGGGTAGCTGCACTCATGGAGGCCTTTAGGGTTCCCTCTGAGTACGGCTAACCTATGAGAATGAATAGGGCCATGGTGTGCATGCGCAGAATAAAAAGGAGCCAGCAATGACCATGTTGGGGGAAAGATTGCTGGATCGGGGCGTAAGGTAATTATGATACCAGGTGGACTGCACTCATGGGATTTGGAAATTTCTTAAAGGACAACTTCACTTAAGTAGAAACTTTCCTTTAAAATACCAACAGATCAGCATAGGCTGATTAGAGGCTTCATCAGGCCAGGTGTCACCCAGTGCGGCCGCAAGGTGTCACCCAGTGCGGCCGCAAGGTGTCACACAGTGCGGCCGCAAGGTGTCACACAGTGCGGCCGCAAGGTGTCACCCAGTGGCATGTCATCATGCACACGCGTGATGTCCTTATGCAAGCTTGTAATGATGTCAAGCGAACTTAACTGTTGGCCATCTTGGTGATGGACGCCGGCAAAGAGGAGGGGACGTTCACCCAGCACGATAAGGTATGAGCCGGGTCCCCTTCTCTCTCATGCAGTTGTCGGTGACCGAGTGCCTGACTTTTCAGAGGGGGTGACTGTCAGCCATTTTGGTGTCAGTCTCTATATAATTGGCAGCGCTTACAATGACACAGCGCTCTGTAGCTGCCATTTGCTGTATACATAACCCAATGGCAATACACGGCGTAATATTTAGCTGTAACGGCCCACGTGTGACAGGCGAAGTGTCGCTGCTATTTCTGCCCTTAGTACTGAGATATCTGTGTACAGTACAAAGTGATCAGCCTGGTCCAGTGGCCAAAGACCTGCCTCATTTGTATTGGGGGGAAGGCAGCGATATCTGTAAGAGAAGCCGGGGGTCTCATCTACATGGGCAGCCAGCGTTGAGCTTTTAAGTAACTTGATATATGAAAACATAGGAATTCGGCTCATACCCACCACACAGCATTTGTCACTGCGCACAACAGGTCCTCACTCATCTCCTGGCCACTTACCATCAAAGCTAGACAACATCTGGGGTGAAGGCTAGAGGATCAGTGACCCCCAACAAGCCAGTTGAGTGTGAGGAAGCTGCTGGTCGAGGCTGTACCGTGGGCCAGCTAGTTTGCCTAGTGGAAGCACCAACCTTGTATGTACTCTCTCCATGAACCACTAATCTGAGTGACTGGCCTCGACAGCAAGGCATTCACACCTGACTCTCAATGACATCCAATGTGAAAACAAAATGTTCCTGCCCTCCTACCCTCATGGCTACATGTTATAAGATAGCAAAGCAACTCCTCCTTATGTATTTAATATGACATTTGTATGTGCTCGATCAAAAGGACATTAAAGTTGATCAAAACGCTAATATAAAAAAAAAAAATCAAAAAATAGTAGCTTTACCCCCCACCCCCCTATGGAGTCCATGTTAATGCGCCGATGCACTGTGCACCAGCACATGCAGCGTGGAGTCTTCAGGGAGTACAAAGCAGTATGGAATTTCCATGTCATTGAAGAGAGACATGCAGCCATCTCTACAATGTAGGTGCACAAAGAGGAAACAGCCAAGGGGAATAGTTTGGACAGGCAAGGTGCATGGACTTGAAAAGGTAAGTATTGAGGAATATTACAAAACAGAAATATGCCACA